CATTTCAACAACAGTCTATATTCAGCCCTTAAGTTTGCTGTATCATGTACCAATCAGACAGTGAATGCCATGGTTAGGTGCTGATTTGAACCCCTGTTTAGCCACTATATTAGTACCAGAGATAATTGAGTGGGCTGTATCATACCAGTAACAAGAAATACACTGCAAGTACAATGCATTTCAATATAGATTAAGGGCATTTCCTTTTGCTCTTGGAATGGAATAACTTTATTCATTCTATTAACTAAGTCCTAAATCATTAGTATTTTCCAAAAATCAAACTACAGTTTCATGTGGAAGAAGAAGGAGTTAATCATAGCATTTTCAGAATTTAACTAGTCTCCGGCCAAAATACCTTATCATTAATATTTTATTATTCTGTGAGCTCTCAGATTTACCGTTCCAAGAAATGAGAGAGATTATAAAATATCAAATAAATATCTCAGTCAGCCTCAAAATGCCCCTTATCTGGCTGGCAGTATATCAAACCAGTTCAGTCCTGTCACCAAGAGTATTTATCTGTCTAAGACACCTGCTCAAACTGTAACCAAATATGTAGATGCTTGTGTAATCATGCATGAATGAAAGCTCTGTAGACTTAATCTCAGTAAAAGACGCAATTGGTTTTACAAAAGGCAATCCTTACAGCTGAAATAAAACCCACGTTATAATCAGGTAGATAACTCAATATTAAGAGGGAAAAAAGTGATGATTTATTAATGCTAATCTTTTGAATAATTTTATTGGCTCTAACTTCATAAAACCTGTAGTTATGTATTTATCACCATGGAATTTTAATTGAAGTATGACCTTACCTGGCCACAGGGAGCTTTCTGTAAAGTGATTGTGAATTTGTCTTTCCCAGTACCTTTCACCAGAATGTACTGACAAATCCCAAGAAATCTATAATGGCGACCATCAAAAGTTGTGAAATGGGAATTGCCAACAATTGAACATTCAGCTGGAAGCAAAAATAAAAAAATAGTGCAGACATTTAAATGACTAATACAAGAAGCACTAAGAACAAACACAAAGTAACTCAAGGGCAGCAACATGAGTTCCAATCCTGCTTTCTATGTATTGCCCCTGAACTAACAATATCTGATCTATGACCCATTATAAGCACGTTTTGAGATTCAGGTTATCTTCAAAAGTACCTTACAATACAGGGGGTAGGAAAAATGTTGAATGCCTCTTCGACCTGTGGATGCACCTCAAGTGTGTATAGATTATAACTAGAAAGATCAGCTCAGAACATCTTCTGTGCCCCGTGTCTGAGAGGACGGAGAGGATTCCGATTTGGTAGCTCCCCAGGATGATAGTCTACTTTGGTCAATCCTACATCATCTTAACAAGCTGAGATACAAACAATCATTCTGCTTGTGCTGACTGTTTACTCCTCCCATTGCATAAGCTACCACTAAACCAGGTATCCCCAATTAACCATTATTTCCCACTTTATCCAAGCTAAGAAACTATGGTTACTAGGTGAGACTTAACAAATTCTTTAACCACTGTTTAGGATTGATTTTTTATTGTACTATATTTTATAAGCTGCCCAGAGTTTATTGCTTTAGCCATTGGGCCATATAGAAATAAAATAATGATAATAATAACTTAAGATCCTGGTTTGGTCTGAAGCTGGGAACTATAGCTTCCACATTCAAACAAAATGGGAACCTGTGGTTAATTAACCCTGTTCTCATGCAATTGCAGCTCATGCAAAGGGAGAAATGAAGCATCTATAGATTTGTGAATTAAACTGAGATAAGAATATCCAAAGCTGATCATTGTTTAAATCTTGCTAACTGATCGGAATGAGCATAAAAAACATGGGAAGCTGTAACATTTGAATATGTTGTGTGTGTGGCTGGGGGGGGGGGTGGAACCCATGCTTTCCTAGTGTCTGATCAGATGCTTAGTAAAATTGGCTTTCTAGTTTGGCCATTTTTAGGATTCAGCTGATATTTATGCACATACAGATACACATACAGACACACCTTTTAAAGAAAAACAATTACCTGGACAGTCATGTTCAGTACAATTCCAAATGCCACCAACACAAATACTAAAGAAATTATAAAATAGAAAACGTGTTAGCTGTTGTTTACTATGTAAGGGCAATGACAAAAAATAGACCCTTTCCCAATAGCAACATACCAAGTAAATGTTTTAATGAAAGCAATGACAGGCAGTTAGTTGGACACAAGGTGTAGCCTGATAGAACAAACGTCACCTACCAGTTACTACATTCTTGTTCAATTTTTGAGCCTACAGGGAAAGCTGTCCCATGATAAATACAAGGGCAATCAGATACAGAAATACAAGTGCCATTGTCCAATATAAGGCCTAGGGTGTAAAAATAACATTAATGAGATTGCAATCTATAGAAAAAAAGGTTCTTACTAATTATTCATTATATAGCAAGGTTTATTTCAATGGAAAGTTAAAACAGACTTCATAAGGAAAGGGGGAGTTTTGATAACAACCTTATCTGTGCTTGACAAATTCAGTAGAATTATTCTCAAGCTCTGGCTAACAGCAATACTGAAATACCCTTTAATCAGTGTTTAGCCTTGTGACAAAATGAGCACTGGAAATCTGTACTAATGATGGGATGGAATGAGCAGTCCTTCAGCTCACTCCCTTTCCATTAACCATGGTTAAGAAACCATAATTTTATATCGGCACCACTTATCTGCTAGACTGTGGCCTAAAATTGGGAATTACTTTGGACAGAACACAAAATAGTTCTATTATTAAGAGATCCATACATTAAAATTGCACTTTCTTTATATATCTATTTCCATCATTGATCTAGTTGGTGATCCTTCCCAAGTGGTCGAAGACTGTAAAATGTAGTCTCTTGAGGTTTCTATCAGTTATGTGCAGATATGCGGAGGCACCTCTGTTAAAGCCACAAGGAAATAATACAGAAATTTCTGAGGACCCAGAGCAAATGGGTAGGGAATCCACTTAAAGACACTTCTCATGTTTTCAGAGTAGTGAGATAATATTAAAATAACATGAATAGATGTGGCATGCTTACCATCTGGGCAGTAGCATCCATCTAAGCAGTGCAGGTTACTGCCAAGACAATCTTTCTCAAAGGTGCAGGTTGGTGGACAACAGCTGATACAATCCCGGCGAATAAAACTATCGTCACACTTATCAGCTAAAACATAACAAGTTAAATAAGACAGTATCATGTTCCTGCTCATTTCATTTGTTTAATGAAGCAAAATACACACAATCATTTATTAACCTTTTAATACAAGATAGGTAAACAAAAATGTAAATAATTACTACTATACAAGACTTAACATTTGTTTCAAGACCAAACTTTTAACAACCAGTTTAATGGTATGGCTGTCATAGATTTACTCACAGTAAGAGGACTCTGAAGAAGCTAAATGCACACTTATAGGATTTAAGATCATGACCCAAGAAAAGATTCATAATCCCATGCCATGTCAACCATCCTAAAATGAAGGATGGTATGTAAATACTTAATAGTCTTTTTTTAAAAAAAAAATACATTCAATAGAAGTTGTATGTCTTCTTTGACATGATCTTGAGTCATGTTGTTAAACTGAGATTTTCTAGCCAATCCAAAACATTTGAAGGTCACTGGTCCTTCTTGTGCACACCTTAATGGCTGCAATGGGCCAGCTGAAGCAAACCATTGGGTACCATAATAGAAATGTTTTAGTGGTAATCAAACATTAGTCCTTGACAATAGAATGGTCAAACAAGCACTTTTAATACAATTGGAACACTGTCACTGACCAGTGATCAGACAGCATTAAAAGAAATCCATTAGCTAAACTTACTACAGGCTGGAAAGTCATCCCTCCAATCTTGTATCGGATGGCCTGCATGTGAACATGATCTAGAATACTCTGTCACTGCCCGACAGTAAGTTTCATCATCATCCTCTCTGAAATAGTAAAATAGAGCCTTGCATTGATTCTTTCATCATTGCCTGTTGAAAGACAGACTCCAGAATGCAGTTGTATTTGATTACAAATTAAATCCTTGTTTAGAGTTTTGTAGTAGTAAAGTGTGATCATGGGACCACAATGAAAATGCAGGAAAATTCTAAAGAAGTAGAGGGTTTCTGCAAAAGTACCCAAGGTAATTTCACTTTTCACTTCTAAGTTTAAATGTGAACTTTTAAACTTAGAAGCAGCTTGTCTGTTTGGTGGTTTGGCATCTATGGTGGGAAATTACAGAGAACATTTCCACTGTGTATGCGTTTTTCTCTTGTGTGTGTACATAGTTTCACAGGCTCGCAGTCACGAAAATAAATGCAGCAGCTAAGTTTAATTTGGAATTCTTTCAAGTACTCTTGAATGAAGTGGTTTTAGGGTAGGAACATTTGATAATATTGAAGGACGGCCATGCAAGAAAAGTGGTCCTCAAAGAAGAAGAATTGCTCTGTAGTTGTCAAAAGTGGCATCCTCTAGGAATTCATGACCCCACCAGTGGGTTGTGATCTAGCCTAAGGTATGTTGCACAAATACTGCTGTGACTGTTTTCTTTTCTTCTGTTTTGCTTGTAGCTGAATGTCAGAAAGGAAGAGAGGCGCAAATAAGGAATGTCAGGCATTGTTGAGAGCAGGAAATTTAGTGGCTGCTGCAGGACATTCACACATCAGCAGCAGTCTAGACTCCAAGAGAAGAAGAGCGGCAGAATCAGAAAGTCAAAGGCAGAAATATAAAATAGAGAAAAATGTACCCCAGAGTAAATCTGTGGTTATTTAATAATGAGTTCTGGATCTGAAAGTTTACCCCCCCCCCCATAAAAATACCTGTAATAAAACACCCTTATGTTAGCTTGGATCCTTTTTCAGTGCTTGCCTGTTTCTGCTGAAGCCCTCTGTACCATGTTATTTTGTTTCAGATGGTCTCCTAATCCTAGAAAGCTGATTTTTAGGGTGTGCAGGAGAGGGCATCAGTAGAAAACCCTGGTCCATGAACAGAGCTCTGTTTTGTTCACAGAAAAGAAATTAAGATCCAAGCCAAGAATGATCACATTAAAATAAAGCTTGCTATCAATTGACAGAAGTTCTAGCTTTAGCACCCAGTATGGTATATCACATGGTATGCATGCTGACTTTTTGAAATTCCTTATTTATTTGATGCATATCCTGCTTTCTCCCCAATGAATTCAAAGTGGCTTACATAATTCTCCTCCTGCTGCTCAATCTTATCCCCACAACAATAATCCTGTGAGATAGGTTGGGTTTAGAATTTGTTGCTGCCCCAGAGTCACCCAGCTGGCTCCATACCTGAGCAAGGACTACAGCCCAGATCTCCTGAGTCCTGAGTCCCAGTCCTCCATACCACACTGGCTCTCATGATGTCATGCTCCAACATGGTCTTTTCTTACCATCACCACACCCAATATTTAATTAATATTAAATGTCTCAAAAGAGTAAGTGACTTGGAACTCATGAATGATATCTCTACAAGCTGCTTCACTAAACCATACTGCAAGAATTTTCCTTCACAAATAACACAATCCCAAATTAATGAAATCCAGGAAACATCCCTCGAAGTTTTCAAGATTATTACAAACCTTACTTGCTACAAATTCTCAATACTAGTGCCATTGCAGGTAGAAATGCCAATCGACATTATTGGATTCAGATCCAGAAATTAACTTTAGGGACTCTGTAATGCTCACCCCAAAGCTGAGGTGAATTTTTAGAAGCCTGTGACTAAAAATCCAGGTGAGATAGGATTTCTCAAAGTAATCTTCTGGACCTGAGAGGTAAGAAGCCGAAGGATCTTGCCCTCCAGTCTGAATTTTCTCAAGATCTGTTCTTCAAAGCGGTCCCAGTGCTGTCTTCAATGCTTTGCTAGTGAACTGGGTTTAAGACCTGCCCACAAGAATACTGGGGCAAAAACTCAATCCACAAGTGGGTGACGCATTTAATCCAAGGGTCCCCCATGGCAGATGGGCTTTTATTACCCATCCCAGCATTCCCACAGGAAGCCCTTCAAATCAGTTGGCCAGCAATGCAAGAAAGATGCTTTGCCATTGCTGTGTTAGAGGCTGTTTTAAAACTGACCCCAGGAAGATTTTGTGGATTTCAATTACATTGGTAATAAATGTCACTATGGATTATTTGGTGGTAAATAAGCTCAGCTGATTCTCAGGCTTATGTGACAGGAGTTGAGGAAAATTCACTCACCTCTGATTACCACTGACTTTACTAGAGTGACATTTTGAATGGTACCACTTTATTAAGAAAGTCATTTATACTGTGAAGAAAAACAGTGGAGTATATAATATCCTTGCAAGGCAAAAGGTAATAATGCTTATATTCAGCTTACCTACAAAGGTCATTCATACAGCTTGAAATATAGGGATAAGGATCTACGCTTTGGTGGCAGCTTAGAAAAGGAAATTCTAAGAGTATTTGGCACTTGGAGTAGATATTCTGCACAGAAAAGCATACAGTTGATTATTAACATACATGCTCTTAATTAAACAGGCATAACTTTAAAACTCTTTAAAATGTTTTCACTATAACCTCTTCTATTGTAACTGCATTTCAAATACTGTTGCTCCTCAAAAACATTTAACTGGAAAAATAAGAGGTCTCATTTCTAAGACAGAAAAAGGGAAATCAAATTGTAGTTTGAATTGGCAATGTACTCTATATTAGCAAGTGAACATGTCTAAACTTCTGCCATTTTAGCTTCATTACATTCCTGAAAAAATATTTCAGGTGTTATTTGGCCGCGGACTGCTGAATTAACCTTGGTCCAACTTATTCACCAGCATCCATGTCTTCTCCCACATGAGAGTTTATCCTGCTGTAGCCCTATGTGCAATGTTATAATTTAGAATCTAAATAAATATAATCTGTTCTGTGATAACTGGATAAAATCATACACCTATATAGATATCATGGTACTATACTTAAATGTTTTTCCTTGTAGTTATTTTGCTGTCTATTGTTAAAAAATGCAGGGATGGAATTAGATAAATTATCATCTAAAAAGATCCTAGGTAGACAAAGAGGCATTCTCCATCATTTGGATCCTGAGAAGTCTGAGTGGAAGGGAACTTAATGAAATACTTTCCCTTCTCCTTCTCCAGCCTGCAGAGGACAAACCCAAAGGATCATGGACTGGAGCAATTTCCTCTGAGGAGGGAGACAATATTTGAAGACATGGGAGAAAGAGATGAGTTAAGAAGGGGCATGTTTAGAGGTGTATAAAGTTATACATAATTATGAGAAAATGGATAGGTAACTTTTCCCCTACCTCATAATACTAGAACTCAGGGACATCTCATAAAACTAATTGGAGGAAGATCAGGACAGATGAAAGGAGATACATCTTCAGTAGTGTATAATCTGTGGAAATGTGTTCCACAAGATATAGTGGTGGACACCAATTTAGATGGCTTTAAAAGGGCTTGGCCAAGTTCATGGGGAGATTAATGGCTATCAATCATTATGGCATATGGGTAGGAGAGTGCAACTAGACCTAAGTACTGCTTGCAAACTTGCAATTGGACCCCTGGTTGGCCAGTGGACAAAACAGGGCTTGGTCTAATTCAACATGGCTCTTCTGGTTTTAAAAGCTTATCTTCTGGATCAAGCAAACTTCTTGAATAGTATATGATGCTTTGCAAGGTATTTCTGCCCAATTTGGGGTGGGGGTAATTTCTCCTTCCTACTTTCATTCCCCATTCCATGGTATAAAAGACACTCCCCAGAAGCCCTAAGATAATGTTATTAGGAAGCTAATGAAAGGGTGGAAAGAACAGGATGGCATTCTTACACACAGTTCTGTCCATTCAGGATTTTCAAAATCAAAGCTCAAAAAAAATTGCTAGAAGCCATCATACAAACTAACCACTTACCTCATAAGATTCTGTGTCAACATTGCAGGGGCTAGGAAAATCAGAGGCAGTAGCTACACAAGTTGCATCCTCTGGAGTTTGCAAAGACCAACTGTTTGCAAATTTAGCAATGTCTTCCGTATAGTCTTCTTTGAAAAACATAATTGTCCACAAGAACAAGTAACATATTACCAGCGTATTGTCAGCATGTATACATAGTAGTGAAGTATTTATTCACTTACTCAGATAAGAAGCGCTTTATTTTTCAACTGTGGCTCTGTGGTGCCTACTTAAGAAGATTCATTTAGTGTATACATCACCTGAACTACCCTTGACCTGAATTCCCATTATCAAGCAACAAGGTACTTATAACATAATTGGACCACAATGCAACCACCCATCTAACCTATGTATGAAGCAGTATTGTATTTAAATACATGTAACTGCTGCCTACAACATTTGAAGGGAATTGGTAATGAACAAAAAACTAACTTGTCTTTTGTTTATTAGTTTATTTAGGACACTGATAGCCTATCAGAATGTGGTCTATAACCTGTGAAAAAAGAAATGTTGATCTAAGACAGGAGAAGGCAACCAGATGTTCTTCAACTACACCTTCCATTATCCCTGAACATTGGCTATGCTGACTAAGGCTCATGGGAACAGCAATCCCAAAATATCTCAAGGGCCACCTTTTCCCATAGTCTATAATGAGTTGCCTTAGAGTAACAGATTACAAATGAATTTATAGATGAAGGAGCAGCTTTTTCATCTAAGCATTAATATTATTTCCCAAAGAAATTCAGAGAAACAAATTCAATAACTTTACAATACTTCCTGCTCAATGTAAGTAAACAGGATCCAAATACCATCCTGTCTTTAGTAGTTACATATTTGAGCTATTTTGCTTACTGTTTTGTATTAGGAAATCATCTGATGTGTCATTGTTATAATTTCCACACAGACCACATGTTTTTCCCTTGTGTTCTTCTGTCAGTTTAATATAAATCCCAGAGTTTCCATCCCAAGCCAGGGAAAAGCCAAAGGTAGTTTTCACCAAAATATAATCTGCTAATCTCTCGATGAAAATATTTCCAATTGTTTGTGGCAATGCCAACCTGAAACAGCAAAACAGCCAAGTCATCTGTAAATCATGCTTTCTTTTTATCCATTTGATCAGAAAGAAATCTTTGCTTTTGCAAAAAATGCAGCCTTGCTATAAATAAAAGCAAACATAGAATTACTTCTTGATTTATATCACACAAGGAATAATCAAAATGTTCCTGTTGAAATTCTTCATCTTAATAAATGCTTTTCTGTTCCCATAATGCAAATACTAATGTTACTTTAGATGTTGCTTCTTATATTCACATAAATGAAACAATTATTTTCATACTCCAAATCATTCTTAACTCTATATTTCCTACTTCAAACACTTATCACACAGTATCTGGAATAGAGCTGAGTTAGGGGAAAGCATAGGATAATTTTGGTCTTAATACTTTTTTTCTGCTAATATAGAAAAAATGAGTACTTGTATAATCTTTACCTGATTCTGCCTTTTCTTACTTCATGCCCCAATATATGTATTTCCTCCTGATTTGAAAAGAACAAGCTGATTGACCTCAAGCAAGAGTACACCGAACCAGCACACTGTCGGCTGTTGTTTATCTTTAAGGAAAAGAAATAGGTACACACAAGTAACAAGTCAGTTCGTTTGTTTACAATATACTGTGTTCGAAGAAATATGTTATGTGCCAAGCACATCACAGTGCAAGTGCATGCAACACATTTTGCACTAGGATATTGTCCAAACAGACAATAGAGCATAAAAGATCTGATGCATCCCTGCTTCTTTCTTTCTCCACAGTTCCTGGCCCATAAGGATAAAGTGGCTGCCAGCCTAAATTTACTCTTAAAACTATTATTTAAACTCAAACTTAAATACAGCCCTAAGAACTGCTGTAACAACCACAAACAATAACAAGTGGCTTATATTGGACATACTGTTATGTGTGCAAGAATAACATGATTAAACATAACACTACGCCAGCAATGCAGGAAGCATTTGAACGGTAGTCCAAGCAGAAACATAAGCAGTAACTAGAGATCAGTGGCTTCTCTTATTTCAAAACCTCATTTTCTTTTGCATTTTTCAGTGGATATTTCATGCACTTCTCATTTTGCTATGACTGTTTGGATATTCTATTTAACATTACAGTCCTTTGGAATCCATATTTATAAATTGTAGATACATATCGGAATAGAAGGAGGAAGCAGAATCCTCTATTGCTTTTTATACAAAACTGCTGAAATCCAGCTGGAGTCCCCCCCGCCCCGCTTCATTCCCCAAAACCAGAAAAAGCCCCCATGAAAGAAAAGCACCTGGGGTATGGCAGTTAAGAACAAAAAGCGTGGGCTGCAAGAGGGGGGAAGCTCCCCCACCCAAGGGACACTTTCAGCTACTCCCCTTCCCCCCCCCACTTTATATCAACATGGTAGAACCCAAGTGGAGATCACTGACATTGCACCCATAAATTGTGCCAGTAAGAATTTATTTCCTTTATTGATGATAGCTACATTTTTTGAGGCAACAGGAGAAGCAAAAAAGCAAGCACCTTCCATGGTATTATTGTCCACAGGCTGGAATATTGGCTTAACCCAAAGTCAGCCTAACTTTCTCTCTTAGTTTTTCTGTCATTATAATTAGGTGTGAGGTTTCTGGTCTGAACAGTTAATTTTTAATTGGCCAGTCAATTATGCGTGTCTGAACTCACAAGGAGAAATGTGAACAAACACAGGAACATACACGCTTTCTCTCTCTATCCTATATATCTACACCAGTTTGGGTGAGGTCAGCGCAGAGTATCTAGATAGAGAGCAGTCTATCACAGGAAATGGGAGGAAAGTGTACACATCTTTTCCATGCTTCTTTCACTTCCCTCTTGATGCAGATTCCCAGGCTTACCCACACAGTGTATTGAGGCTCCAGTTCACTGCAGTCTTTCACAAAAATGTAAGAGCAATTTCCCGGGAAGTAATAGTAGATACCATCAAATGTTTCAAAGTGATGCTGCCCCCATGATTTGCAAATTCCATCTCTGTCTTTGCCAGTATTTGGAACTAGAGAAAGTAAAGTATTGTTTTGCCAGTGTAGTAACAAGACAACATGGCAAATGCAACATAACTCATTTCAAATATATTCACATCCCTTTTTCACAATGATGGATTAGAAATTCAAATTTTAAATAAGGGTGATCCAAGAGATCAAGTCAGAAAATATGGATCACCCATAAAGAAAATAAAAGAATTAATTCACATCTAAGGTAGGAAACCATTTGCATAGCCTTTGACGTTTTCCTTGGAATAGCTCCCGCTCCCAAAAAGGCAAGCAATTGTTCAGCTTGTCCCTGGAAGAGTTATTATAAATAAAGTATCAAGGAAAGCTCCAAGATTAAGAACATTTACTTGCATATAAACTGTGTCTTCAGTTTGCAGCTTAAGAACACAGATTCTAGACAGAACAGAAGCTAAAGAATAAAAAGAAATTTCACAGGAATAATTCCTCCCATCACTGTACAGTAGAGAGGAGAAACAGCACACCATGCTTCCTAAGTTCAGAATTCTTCAAGAGAAAGAAATTAAACCTGACTGCATGATGCTTGCAGTAAAGTCACAAATTTGCACCTGATTAGTGCAGTTATAGTAGCTAATTTCAATGCAGCCATATGGAAAACCTGTTTTATGCACAATGTATTCATATTAAGTTGTTCACCACACAGACCCAGCCATTTTCAGACTACCACCACAATTTTTGTGGCTATTTGTAAAGATACAGCAGGAATCAATGTAGCAATGGTTTTACAGACCAATAGTTTGCCTCAAGGAACGATTCGAAATAGCTAGGTTTAAAAGAGCCATCTTATTTCTGTAAACCAAGTTTCTCATAAGCATAATTACAGCAAAATATAGAATGCTGACTATCACATAGCAAAGTGCAGTTCCTCATGTTATGTCTTTGTCCCAATCCCACATAAGAGTCCAAACATTGAGGATAGAGGATCATGGTCAACGATGCTTATGCAAATAAAGTTCTCTGTTTAAGGTATCCAAATTGTGCAATGAAAATGAATGTTATTTTTTTAAAAAAACCAAACAAACAAACAAATAAGAACTGTTCTGAAAAAATGAGCTTCTGGCTCAGGCCCTCTTTCAGGACACAGAGTGAAAGCATTTTACAGAAAATTCTGTTGCTTGGGAGACAGAGAAATGTCTGTGCCTGCATGTGACATGGCCCCTCAGACAATGCAAGTCCCAGAATTCCTTAGTTTTGGCATTTCCTATGTCCAGGTAGGAAGGTATGGTAACTGAGTGGCAACAGGCATGATGAGCAAGCACCAAAAGAGTAAGGAATACTGCAGTTCTTGGGTTGGTGTGAGCCAGTACAGCTAACAAGCTTTACAAGCCCCAAATCATGTGGTCAAATGAGTTATGCCTCCATCTCCAGAAGACATCTGAAGAACTGACACTAGATATCATGCACAAGGAACAGTGTTTAGTGAGTGGTTGTTGTCAGTATAATTAATATAACTGAACATTGCACATGTCCTCCAGTCTGATTATCAATAAAGAAAAACAGTTTAAATGAAGACATCATTAATCCTCCAATTTTTCAAAGGATCCTTGGGTGTGTGGGAGACCATGTTTGGAGATATATCATCTTAAGGTGAGAGGATAAACATCAATTGTTAAAATAGTATCCCATTAAGGGACTTTTTTCAATATATTTCCAATAAACCTGCTAGAAACAATTTGTCAAGGCATTATATGTAGTACTCATTCAACAAACTGGGTTTAACCTTTATATGACATTCATCTCCTTAACCTCTTACATGTTACTCACCAGTTTGGCATCGGTCTCCCTGGGCCTGAAATGTCTCACAGTCACACACTCCTGCCTCTGTGCAAACTGCTCCATTAAGACAATCCTGAGGGCAAGAATCTACACAGCAAAACCAGCCAGATATTAGCATCGGAGCTTTATTAACACCCAAAGGCCATAATCCTATGCCTGTTTAAACAAAAATATCCTACAGCTCCAAGCATACCCCAATCAGTCTTCTCTTTCTCGTAATACTGGTCACCCAATACATGAAGCTCACACAGCTTGCCTAGGACCACAAAAACAGAAAGTTTGTCCACCATTTGATTATCTTCAGTGCCTGATCATTGGTTTGTATTCATCTGGGTGGGTCTACCTTACATTAGCTGTCAACGTTAAACATATGGAATTGTTAAGTTTTCTGGATGCTCTCCTCTTAGCCTGAGATTTTAGTGGGTTGTCTTCAGCCCTCTTGGTAAAGGCTGTAAAGAAATCCTACAAGCTAGGCTCCAGCAGTATGTTGACCGAGTACAGGCAGGATTTCAAAAAGGGAGAGGAACTAGAGATCAAATGGCCAAAATACGCTGGATCATGGAGAAAGCTAGGGATTCCAGAAAAACATCTACTTCTGCTTCATTGACTATGCTAAAGCCTTTCATTGTGTGGATCACAACAAATTGTGGCAAGTACTTAAAGAGATGGGAGTACCAGACCATCTTATTTGTCTCTTGAGAAACCTATGTGTGAGTCAAGAAGTAAAGTGAGAACTGCACACAGAACCACTGATTGGTTCAAAATTGAGAAAGGAGTTTGGCAAGGCTGTATACTGTCGCCCTACCTATTTAACTTATATACAGAACACATCATGAGAAAGGTGGGGCTAGATGAATCACCAGTTGGAATTAAGAGAAATATCAACAACCTCAGATATGCAGATGATACCACTCTAAATGTTTTAATAAATAAATAAATAAATAAATAAATAAAGACAGAAAGTGAAAAGGAACTAAAGAACCTCTTGATGCGGGTGAAGGAGGAGAGCGCAAAAGTTGGCTTGAAACTCAACATTAAGAAAACTAAGATCATGACATCCAGTCCTATCACTTCCTGGGAAATAGATGGGGAAGAAATGGAGGTAGTAAGAGATTTTATTTTCCTGGGCTCCAAGATCACCGCAGACGGGGACTGCAACCAAGAAATTAAAAGATGCTTGCTCCTTGGGAGGAAAGCTATGGCAAATCTAGACAGCATACTAAAAAGCAGAGACATCACCCTGCCAACAAAAGTGTGTATAGTCAAGGCTATGGTTTTCCCAGTTGCAATGTATGACTGTGAAAGTTGGACCATAAGGAAGGTTGAGTGCCGAAGAATTGAGGCCTTTGAATTGTGTGCTGGAGAAGACTCCAGCAAGTCCCTTGGACTGCAAGGAGATCAAACCAGTCAGTCCTAGAGGAGATCAACCCTGACTGCTCTTTAGAAGGCCAGATCCTGAAGATGAAACTCAAATACTTTGGCCACCCAATGAGAAGGAAGGACTCCCTGGAGAAGAGCCTAATGCTGGGAACAATTGACAGCAAAAGAAGAATGGGACAGCATAGGATGAGGTGGCTGGATGGAGTCACTGAAGCAGTTGCTGTAAGCTTGAGTGGACTCTGGGAGATGGTGGAGGACAGGAAGGCCTGGAGGAATGTTGCCCATGGGGTCGCGATGGGTTGGACATGACTTCGCAACTAACAACAACAACAACATGGAATTGTTGCAAAGCCATATAGAATTATTACTGAAATTCTCTGCAGAAATATAGTGCATTTCTCTAATGTCTTTCTTAAAAGGCAGCAAAATATAATACTGACCTCGTGATGAGTTTTGAGCCTGAGAAAATGCCTCATGAATGGGAGCTCCAGAAGATATTGCAGCAGTCTGTGAGAAAGAGAAAGGCAAATCATTTGTGCTGTTAAAAGCACTTGATAGTACAAATCAAATCAAAACTGGACTCAGACTTAGTCATGCTTAGAGTATATCCACTGAAATCAATGAATCTAAAATTACATTATGGCTAAATTAGGCTTTATTGATTTCAGTAGGTCTTCTAAGCTGGGGTCAATGCAGTGTTTCTGATAACTGTACAAAAGAAGATTAAGGGGGACCATCCTATGCATATTCAAACAGACAAAATTGCTACAGCTCCCAGCATTCCCCAGCTAGCATAAAGTCTTAGGGGTTAGATTGTTCAACCACCTGATAATCTTTTGTCTGATGGAGAAGAAGGTACACTCAGCTTACGTGACACCCATGATGCAGTTGATATGTACATATAGATTTGCAGACATGGCCTACATGAATTGGTGGAAATCCTTCTTTGGAAAGATCAGTGGTGCCACTAGGGCCAGACCACAGGGCATAGATCAGAGAGGGCTCCAGACAGGTGGTGATGGTTCAAGACCAAGCCACAGCTTAGTAGTCAAGATTCTGGCCATGTGACATTTTTAATTTAATTTCAATTTCAAACTGTGTTTGAAACTGACTTATGAGAGTAAGATGAGGAAATCAGACACTGCCTTTGGGACCCTGAGGGAAATGAGAGCGACAGGTCCCCCATGGACTTGTCCCCCATGGACAACAGTGCCATCATTGACTGAGCCAAATTAGTGCACCCCGTGCGTGTTGACAAAATAGTCCAAGTTAAAATAGTTCATGGTTGCACCTTCAATGGACCGTTTTCCTTTTCTACAGAAGCCAAGCCTGAAGAGGCTGAGCTCCTGCTCAAACCTTGGGCCAGGGAATGTGGCTCTGCAGGAAACTGCTTGTTAATGAGATAGAACATCCTCAGTGGAAGCCAAAGCTTAAGAAATAGTCATGCATCTCTCTTCAATGTTTCAACTGTGGGAGGCAATAGGAGTCTAGAAGGTGAAACATCCCTTCCCCTTTCAGTTAGGCAGGTGCTTGAAAGAGCCGCAGAAACATTCCAAGTCCAAATGAAAATGCTGAAATAGCAAATGGCAGCTTCAGAAAAGCAAAACCAGTGACTTGGAGCAAGAATGGAAGCTTCACAGTAGTTCAGACAGTGGCTTTAAAAAAATGGAGGCCCTGCAGCAGTCAATCCAGTGAGATCCCTAAAGCAAATCGGAAAGCAAACAGAACTGGCATGAGCAATCAGAACATCTTCCTAGGGGGCCTGATGTAGAGTCTGAAGAAGACCAGTTTTCCACCCCAGTTCTTAGTATGGAAGTGATTCAACTGATATCAGAAGCTTGATTGATGTTGATCTGTCTCAAATGAAGGGAGGCACTGAAGCAGGGAGAACAGTTTTCACAAGTACCAACTTGTCCTGGGAACCTATTGTAGAACTGAGCAGAAGCTGTCACAATAACAGCACCATTTGAAAAGCAACCCCCATACACCAAAATAAACCCCAGCTCATCTCCTGTTGCCAGATTGCCAAGCACCAACGAAATTTCAAGTCTTTTTGTTTGCTCTGACAAAGGAGGTAACAGAGAAAGGCCCCCTTTTTTGTTTGATGTGCGTCACTTGGCTTGTGGGGATGATTAATTCAAGAAGCGTTTTGCAAAGAATGAATGAAAGGCTGAATGTAAGTTTGCATTTTGAAAATTGCAGGAAAACAGGTAAGGATAAGCTCCTCCTCATGCCTGCCTTGCTATTACCATTTCCATTCTGCTTTACAAAGACCTCATTGTAGGAGCAGCAAACTCCCCTTGTAGGAAGATGAGTGTCAGTATGGGGTTATTTTCTTTTTTTCCTTTTGAGGTATAACCTACCTCAGCTGCTAAGAGATCTCTTTTCTGACGAATTGCATTAAATTCATTCCTGGAAGAAAACAAAAAGTATCTTGTATAATCAAAGGTCTCGAAGCAACCTGAATAAGCAAGCTCCCATGAGAGAGGTGTTTCTCTCTGATTTCTCTCACTTTATCAAAGACACCTTTCTTGCATTAACTTTTTTCTTTTTTTTTTTAAGTTAACATTCACATTTGTTCCCTTTTTCACTTTCTCCTTTGGCAAAATACAAGAGACACCACATTTTTTTTTTCTTGTGGACACCCTTTAGAGCACATCCTAAGTGTAAAGAGATACTCCTACTTGGATATATTTTAATCTGTGGAAACAAAAAGTGATTTGCAGTTTTCAGATGTTTAAGTTCCTCTCCTCAGTTTATTTACTGAGAACAGGATCAAGACAATGGTTCTAAATAACAGGAATTCTAACATATGTTAAACTTTGACAGCCATATCAACTTGGGGGCCAGAACCCCACAGAAGGCTTCTGTATGCATAGCCTGAACTGCATGGGGAAAATTAGCATATTAGATAATTCATAAATGCAAATTAGCTTTTCATCCTGCAGTTCTTCGGAACATAACAGTTGAATCTATGGCTGCATCATCTCAAAAGAAACTAATTAGCATTGGGTGTTTGGAAAAGGAAGTAAATTTAATCTTTTCACCTCTAAAGAAGAGTCCCTACAGGAACTATTATGTAGCCCAGATGGTTGAATATACATAAATTCAGGCTGAAGTTCCTAACTATAAAAGCTGTTTTATAATAATAAGCTGGCCATTGAGTCATAGAGTTGGAGGGGGTCTTGCAGGCCATCTAGTCTCCATACCCCCATTGATGCAAGAAATCATCAACAAAACTAGAGCATTCCTAACAAATGGCTGTCTGGAGTCTGCTTGAAGACTTCCAATGAGGAAAAGTCGCTGCACAGAGTGGAATTGGTTCAGCTGGGGACACTTTGAGACAAGCCTACAGTGAGCTCTCCTGCTGCCTAACACAGGAGAACTAGTGCAATTCCAGTGGGATGTCCCCTCCCTTCCTGCTGCCACCAGTCTCAGCCCAGCGAACCCAGCTCCTTTCTTGTACGGCATGAAGGATCTCTGGGCTGGGCTTGTGGCACCATCGGGGAGGGTTGTGCTGCAGCTAGTTTTGATGCCATGGCTCCTAGCTCTTGCAAGAGCTCAGTGCATAGCTGAGATATCATGAGGCTTGGTCATGTGCCAAGATCTCATGAGAACTCTGTAGCCACATAACAACAGAGGGCCAGCACCCACTCTGAACAAGCTCACTGGCCACCTCCTCGCTGCAGCTGCAGTGGGATAATGGCTGGCAAGACTCCCTCCAGGATCCACTGGAGATGATGGTGGACCCTCCAGCCTGGGTTTGGTATGGGAAGGGTGTAATTCCTCACTCTTCCCGCTCTGTCACCCCATGTGGCCACTATCCAGTGTGGGCATTTTAACCACAGGTGGACTGGCCTTGCTCTGATAGGACGCCGTCCATCTTAGGCACGCTGGGACTTACACGGTCTAACTGGGATCCACCTAACTTTAGTTTTGTGAAATGAACATCGAGTTTACATGGTATCAAAATATTAGTCACTTTCATTAATGCAAAGCAGAGAATGGTGACATGCACAAGTGCTTTTGCATGGCTATATTTTCCAAAATATGCATTAATTCTAAGGTACAATCCCATGCATATTTGGACATGTAAAATCCTATAACTCCCAGAAAGCATGGGGATTGGGAAACTTATTTTTTATGACTGTTATTCTGATAAGAGTATTAGAATTATATCTTACCAGTTTTATCTTCTGCAGTTTACTACTAGATCACCAAAAGGTTTTATACTTCCTCAGCAGCATTTGAGTGTTAAATATACTTTAGTTACCACTGCGTAACTATAGCACCTACTATAGCAACAGCCTCACAGGGATACCAAAACTAGAGGACACCATGGATGTCTTTCAAGTTTTGTACTAAATTCAACTGCTTTCTTGAAGTAATCCTTTGTATGTTTAGACAGAAATAAACCTTACGACTTCCAGCATTCTTCAGGCAGTATAGCTGGCTGGTGAACGCTGGGAAATATAGATTTTTTTCCCAACATTCTTTTTTTTTCTTTCTAAACCTGCATAGGATTTCTCACTAAATTATTTGTATCAGACTCTTCATATTCTTTCCTAATCAAACAGTCCTAATTAACTAGTGGAAACAAAGTATTTACTAGTCCAGCCCATTTTACTATACTCAAGAAATGTGTATGATATATGATAAAACAAGAAAAGCATGTGTATGTATATCTGTAAAACTAAAATACTATATATTACACTTAAATATTGCCAGCTTAGTTAAATCTTGAAAATGCAGGATATTTTCTCCCTTCTCAACCACAGTATAACAAACCCCATTTTTTTCAAAGTGACATGAAGGTATGTTCTGTCTGCACTTTTGAAATTATTGAAATGGGCATCTTTCATTGCAAAAATGCTTTTTTGATGTTAATGCTCCAAAAATAATTGCTGATAATGTGAAAAGACAGATAAAATGTAATTTCTTGAGAACTTTTTAGTGGTTGTTGGAATCATGTCCTGTTTCTGGACCTGCAAGTGAGAAATTCAGACTCACCTTGGAGTTCTTTTCAAAAGAGGTAATTCACAGACAGATCCTGTTAGATAAAAATAAGTAGAGTCAATCTGTCTCTCTCCTTGTACCCTTTTCTATAGCTTGAGGTCAAAGGACAGCCCTGTACTGGAATTCCGTTTTGAAAACAAGGATAAATTGTGCTCTTTCAAAAAGTACAAGTAAGATTTTAAGCTGTATACAAATTAAATCCTCCCCAAAGGTAATTTTTTAAAACTGTTTTAATTTTACGAGTCATAGTTGCCTGCTCTTTTGAAAAGAGTGCAGTTTGGAATTCAGAAAACTCCGTATGCAAACACATGATGACAAGTAGAAGTAACCCATTTTTGTTTCAGTGAAACTTAAATTTAAGCGCTGGTGCTTAAGATTGTAGCCACTGTAATGCATGAATTCAAGATTTTCAGTTATCCATACACAACCTTTGCAGAATCAGGAATCTTTGCTAGGGAAAACAAATCTTTAATAATGTTTTGGCCCATGACCCACTCTTTAAAGACATCTGTTTCACTTTCCTGACAGATTGTATGTGTATTATTATAGATTTTTAGATATTTTTTCTTTTTGCCATGAAGTCATGTGAAAATTATTATCCTTTAAAATTGTTTTCCAAAATATCTGTCAATAACTTTAGCAACAAAAGCAGCAAACAAATAAATTATAATTAGTGAAATATTTATTCTAAAGTTTCAACTCTTTGCAGATAAAGTATAATTCCTAAAGAAAGATGTACATTGCTCAGAAAAACATCAATTTGTGATTCAAAAGGAAGGCTGGCAAATGTGCTATTCAATTATGCATGTTTATTCAAACGTGTTCAATTATGATTGTGGCAGAGCGTTTACTATGCAGACTTTTATGGGATAAATTCCAGTACAACACTGTAAACATGCATTTAGTATTTACATGCATAGGATTGTATTGCCTTTCCTTCAGTTTGGATCTTATCAGTATTAAAATCACAGCTGGATTTAGAATAAAGTACATTCTTTGCTTTTCTAAGTAGTATAGTTTCTTCAGAGGAAAAATACCTTTGCAACAATATATTTAATAAAAGATTTTCCAGTAAAAAACTTACCTTCCAAGGAAAGCAACAGAAAATGTACGCAAAAAATGTTCCACGGTATCATGAAATTATCTTTTCTCACAATGTTCATTTCAATGCCGCTTCTTAATATGGAAAATTTCCCGTTTGACACCGTTAACTATGATGGCATCTTAAAAGCGAATGTCCTTCACAGGTCCTTAGAAATTTCACAAACCAATGGAAATAAAATTATAAAAGAAACAAAATGGAGCTTGCTTGTTGCGCTCTGTATTTTAGAGCTTTGAAAATGCTGTATACGTTTTGGCTAGTTCTCTCTTATTAGTAATGCATGGTAGCTCCCTACCCAAGCCAGTATTAGTTACACGAGACCCTACGTTCCTACTCCTCTTTTGGACTGAATCAACCCTTTATAACACTTGTGGACAGCGACACAGAAAGATATCTTGTGCCATGATACTTTTGAGAGATCATTTTGCATCTGTCTGCTTTGAAGCCTGCACTGATCAAGATTTTCAGTGTTCCCCCACCACAGTGCTCTTATTTTCATTTTACACTTTTTTGCAAAGTAGAGTTCAAACATTCAGCAATATTTTTTTTTTTGTTTTTGCTGCAAGCTAATTTACTAGCAAGGCTACCAATACATTTCAGGTATGTAACTGCTCGTAATAAAATTTTATTCCAGGTTTTAAAACATGAATGTCTCTTGCATCTGAGAATTCTTCATGCACAAGCAGCCTCAATAAATAGCATAACATTTTTGCTGCTTCATTCTTACACTCACACCAGTGATAAATCTAGAATGTATCTAGAATGTTTTGGTTTGAATTTGTTATGGCTTTACAGTTCTGTTGTGTTTCATATTGTTTGCCATCTTGGGAACCTATTCAACTGAGAGGTGGTTGGAAGTGTTTTTAAAATAAAAAGGATTCCATTCGGTGAATGTCAGGCAAATCATATGACCAGTCACTGTTCAGGTGCAAATAACTTTAGAGATGCCTGAACATCATCATCTCAGTCAATGGAGTACATTAAGTTGCATAAAGATGATACAAAAGAATGCAGCATATTTAAGTGGCGGGGAAGAAGAGGGGATGGATCCAGAAGTCAAAATCAAGCATGTCATATCACAGATCATCCTCAAAGGGCTGGATTGTATCATCACATCCAGCAAAATTCCTGACATTTCAAGAAAATTACTTCACATTTTAGGAAAGAATATGGAGACCTTCTTTGCCAGTAGGAATAAGAGGTAACTATCTCTGGATGGTATACCTCCTGCTGTAATGTTCTATTTGTTTTTCTATTGTCCAATTGTTAAGTGACCCACCCCATCCTAAATTATACTATGAACAGTGGGGTTTTGTGTGCCAAGACCAGGAATGGGTTTTGTGTGCCAAGACTGTGCCTTCTGCCCACGTCTGATACACAAGTTTCTGGACCCAGAATTGTGAATTTTGTACCATGCTCCATTTAGATTTCAGGACTCTAGGAAAAAGATTCTACAAGCCTGAAGCCTACTCATTCCTTTTTAAATGAATATACTGGTTATAAGCAAATGGTTCAGTCACTACAACAGTGGCAAGCAATGAATCCTCTGTGAAAATATAGGATGTTATATTTTTTTGCCTGAGCTGTTACACTTTTTTTTGGCATAATGGAAGGGCGCATGCAAGCTTTGGAAACTGGAGATCTACGCGTCAAGGAATCAAAAGGGGACAAGGCGTTTGAAGTTCTTCTTGAACATACTGCTAGTTCTCTAATGTTATATTAGATGTTATAGAATGCAAGTAATTATGTGTTAGAAGAGTCTGTTCCTCTAGACAATTTCACTGTATTGTTCTACCACATTATATGGAACTGTAATTTAAAGTACTAGAAGAGGAATTACCCTATTTTGAAGATGAGGCGTATGGAAGTCAGACAATTTTGCAAAAACTAAAATTTTACTGAGTTTAGCAATCTAACGTAGAACTAAAACTGAATTGAGTTAAATTCAATAAAAAGCCCATTGAACACAATGTAACACCTAAGCCAGTGGGACTAGCTTCAAAATAAGCATGAGTGAGGTTGCATGATTTGAGAGCATTATGCTATACAGTGGAAACTTGGATAACTAAAAGGTCTTATTTTTAGTCACATACATTACTAAACAAATATTTCTACTGAATTCCAGACCAACCTTTACCTCATTTGGCTAAAAACTTCCATTATTTCCCATTTAAAATGTATAAGGACAAGCTGGTATCTAAACACTGGTTCATACAACTTAGTTCTTCCAAAGATCACAGGTACAAAACAGCATATAAAGGCCAATGCAGTTTTCTCCATCGTATTAGTTATTCCAAAACTCCACTTCCATCGGTATCATCACGCATCAGGGATGACTGGAGTTATGGTCCAACACATCTGGAAGGTATCAGAGGTGTTAGTGGGAGCTCAGTATTGATGTGGCAAGAAGGGTCCAATCTCAGTGACTATTTTTATTTCAGTGTAAGCACAAACTTGAACCTCACTTGTGTAAACTGATTCAAATCTTGCTACATCATTTGCATGGACATGGAAGGATTTAGTGTAAACTGGTTTTAATCTGGGTTCTTTTCAAAAAACATGCACAGGGAATTCGAGTTCATAGCATTCAAACAAACACGAATTAAGAACAATTTTCCATCTTTATTTAAAGAATGAATTGCAGATTCCTTTAACGGTAAGACTTCTGGTAACGTGCACGAGCACCAGGTCCACCAAATTTCTTGGATTCACAACGACGAGGATCGGCAACCAAAAGGGTCCTATCATACTGGATGAGGATATCCTTTATCTCTTTCTTGGAAGCTTCATCAACATCTACAGAAACAAAAACAATACCAGTATTAAACCTTGAAATTCTCACTTATGTCCAATGCTGGATTTAGTTCAGAAGTAGATAATCTATTATCAAGACCACTGGGAGAAAAAGCTTGTAAGTTGCATAAGAAGCCTGAATGCAACACAGATCCTAGAAATTGCCATAATATACAGCAGTTAAAGTTCAGATTTGAAAAACACACAAGAATAAAATTTAAATAAAACTTACATTTCTGGTAATAAGCCACTAACGCTTTGGAAATAGACTGCCGAATTGCTGTAGAAAAAGAAAATGAAGTTTTTATAGCATCAAACAAAAGCTGTAGTTAGATAAAACACAGGACAGAGATTCTAACTGTGGGACTCTAAAGGTTAGTTAATATCTTTTAGATAATAAGCAGGCACATACAAATGTACAAATTTAAGGAGTAGTAGTCAAATACAAGAGAAAGTTTGCAAACTGGATAAATCAATGCCAGACCTAATAAGTATTTGTACAACATCTCAAATCTGTGTATCAAGAATAAAATACTATGAGCACTTTTTAGCATATGTAACACATTCCCATCCTTTCCCAATACAAGAGGTTGCTCATACATATCATACCATATATCTGTGCTACATGACCACCGCCTTTCACACGAACTCGAATGTCAACTCCTGCAAAACGCTCCTTGCCCAGAAGGAGAACCGGTTCAAGCAGCTAAACAAAGAACATTTTGATTATAGGATGTTAGATTGGCCATAATGAGTTCATTACATTTATCCTAGTTGTTACAATATGCTGCTAAAATATCCAACTTTTCAAAGCAACATTTCTCAAGACTTTGCTTAAGCTTTTTACATTTGTTTTAAATTCTCATTTAAATTCACAAAATGATTATCTTTTTGTTTTATCACTGTTTCTATTTTATATTTTATGTTATGCCTTGTAAATCACTTGGAGAGCTTCAGCTATCCAGCAGTACAGAAATAAAATAAGGCAATTAAAGTCAAAACTGTTCTCTATACCCTACCAGTACAGCATCAGCAGGCTACACCCCTTATGTGCAGGATGCCTAACAGAACAATTTATGCATATTACTCAGAAACTCCATTCTGTCCAATCCTAAACATACTTCTTAGGTAGTGAATCTCTTTCAACACAGTGATGCTTACTTCTAAGAATAGGTAGGAAATGCATAACCTGCAGAACACTTTTATATTTCAATTAATGCATCAGTATCAGGAATAAATGAGTACTTTTTCCTGTTCTGTTCATGAATCTTACTCCTTGACATCTTATTTAGTTGACCAGGTTTGACAGTTCAGCCAGACATCCACTTCACCCCTATTCCTTCATTGCACTGCAGCAAAATCATATTTGGCAGTTGAGAACTGTGCTCCAGTAAATACAGCTAAATCGCATGTAAGGACACAGAACCAAGTCACACTGTTCTATTTGCCTTCAAAATCGTGACAACTCTTTAGCTCAATAGTGTTCACGAAACACTGCACCAGGGCTAAAGGAATTGGTCTTGCTTCAATCAAAAGTAAAGCAGACAGGAGGCATGCCGTCTTTGTGTGACAATTGTTAAACTACAACTTTTGAAAAAATACTAAGCATATTTATCAAATGGTAAATCAAAACTCACTTCTAGACAGCAAATAAAGATTGACTGCTTTGAACATCTTTCTGAGGTTTGAGACCATGCTCTGCCCCACCTCACCTTTGCAATCAGCACAAAGAACTGTGCCAGCTTTTCAAATTCTGAAAAGTAACCCTGGGGGAGGAGGAAAGGGGCATGCCACAGAGTTAGTGAGGGGCGAAGGAGAGTGGAGAGGTCAGAGTATGAAAGATCCTGAACCTCATTGCCTCCTGCTCCAAGAAACTCCCTAAAAAGCCTATCAAGTAAAAATCACCAAAGAAGATAAAAAGAAAAAACATTAGCTCCACCACTCCTTCAGCCCTAGCAATTTCAGTCCAACAGAGTAAAGGAATCTTGGAAGCCCCCTAACCAAGAGGCTTCCAAGCAGTAAACAAAAGGATTTCACTCGTATCGTAAAAGGTCCCCTTCTATGATGACCAAAGACCCTTTTTCAACTCCTTAAGTCAGTAAACTAGTTTTAAAATGTAATGAGCTACAAGCATTGATAGGTTTAAATAAAAATAACCCTTTTATGCCCAGAATGATATTTTTACACTCCTGGAAGTATAACAACTTACTTTGTATTGCAGAGTTCTGGGTTCTATCATTTCCAGAGGCCTTCCATTCACCTTAATAAGGCCATTTCCTCTTTTGCAGTGAGCAACTGCAGTGGCAGTTTTCTATGATGAAATGTAAATAAAGTACAATTGTAGCATTAGATCTGCATGAATTGTATCAATTATGCATTAATCATTTAAAAAGTGATTTTTGAAATATTTATCTGTACAAAAGTCTTTATATTAAACCATTTAACTATCTCTCTGCTACTGAAATTATTTTAATGAGCAGTCTCATAATTCTTAATAACTTCTGCTATTCACACGTTCTATCTAGCACTATATTCTTTTTGTTATCCACTACAAGGTATGTTATTTAAAATATAATTCAGATGCAAATATTATTTGTGGTCACTTCAAAATAAATTTAATTTGAAAGAGACTATTACCAGGAAAGCAAGGATTGAATCCTTGCTATACAAGACTTAAGTTTATCTTTTTGGTGTGAGTGTGAATGGGAAAAAACAGATAATGCTTGGGAGGAGGAACACTTCATCTCAGTCACAAAATTATCAGAAATTTCCTTGTACCAAGATGCAGCAGCTCTGCAGGATTTCAGATGTTTCTCATCACTACTTGGAGAAGCTGGCCACTGAACCAGGATTTCTCGCTTTAGAACTTAGGTCGAAGATTCCTGCCCAACCATCATTCGGGTAAAAGCTTTTCTCACAAGTAGGCGTATGGGATCGGCCTAAGGGCAACGTGGGGGGAAAGCTCTTCCACTGGTCACTCCGGTAAGAACAGCAGTAAATCACCACCAGGACTGGCAGAAAAGCTGCATGTGTGGCGGAAGGAAAGATCAGGAAGAGGGCGAAGAGGCATCTCATTGGCCTTCAGATGATCAGGTCCCTGCAACCGATTCCCCTACGCCAAGCTTCTCCAGCCTGGAACCTACCAGACGTATTGAACTAAATGTATGAGGTGGGGGGGGGGTAATGGGAGTTTATCGTCCAACAAATCTAGATAAGACCAAGACGGGGGAAGGATGCGCTACACGTAAGCAGCGGCAATTATGTGGGGAAACGTGGCTGCGCAGAGAAAACGGGCGCGCACTCCTGCTGGAACCGGAGAAAGCAAGCAAGCCAGCCGGCTGTCGAAGCCCACATAGCCTTTCTACGGTAACGTCTCGCTAATCCCGGGGACCGCGGTGAGGGAAAGGAAAGAACTAGGCCCATGCCCGGCGCCACGCGAGCCTCACCTTCCTGCCGAATACCTGCACGCTCTGAAGGGGTCCCTTAGCCGGCATGGCGCCTGGGAAAGGAGAGAAGGGAAAGGAGAGAGTGAGTGACGAGCTCGAGAGCTCCGCGGCAAGAACGCGGGCGGACTCGGCCCAGAGCGCTCAGGACACGCACCTACCCACAGCGAGAAGAGCCGCGAAAGGAGGAACGGGGCTTCCCAGAGTGCTCTTCCAGGGGCGTGCAGCAAGGCCGAGCGCGTCATTTCCGGGAGAGAGACTCTGCGCGCTTTCCGGCTGGGCGGGGCAAGCAGCTTTCCGTTTTGCCCCGGGCCCGCAACGTGAGTTGTGTGGCTCGCTTTGCTTGCGTTCGCAAGTGTGTTCTCATGAAATGAGCGCAGCCATATGCTTTCATTATACTTCTGGCGTGTATATGGACCATGCTTCTCTCCGCACGCACAGAATGGATACCATTCCTAGTGTGTAGAAGTGATCTTGCAGGACGCTGACGAGGATGAACCTTTCAGTATGTTCGCCTAAGCGCGTTATACTAACGTAGTTATTCCCATCTCCGTTTGACATGTCTAATTATGCTAGAACAGACTTCCCCAAATTGAGGCCGACCATTCGGAATACAATGGCAATTTAAGTTCTAAAACATCTGGAGGGCAACAGCTTTATTTATTAATTAGATTTATATCTTGCCGCCTTTTTTAAGGAACTTGGCAGCTTACATCATTCTCTTTCTGCTGCTTTCATTCTTATTTCCCACAGTAAGAACCATGTGAGGCAGGTAGGGCTGAGAGTCTGTGCCTGGCCCAAAGTCACCCAGTAGGTTTCATGGCTGAGTACAAGAACTCGGATCTCCTGAGTCCCAGACCTGTGCTCTTAACTACTACACCACATTGGATGTCAGTGAGGATTGAGGAAGACTGCAGTACATTTCCACCAGAGATTGTGGAATATAATTGAAATTCCGTAATTATATTTATTTCAAATCCCATTCCAGTGGAATCCACTTTAAATGCATTTGTTAAGGGGTTACCAGCCAACTTTATCTTTTTTCTGTCAAAAGGATTATGTGGGCTTTCTAAGGCATGAACATAGTGAAATGCATGCCTCCAAGCAGGCACGCAAAAGTTAGTACTGTCAGAGCCCATATACAAAACCAAGTTCATCTCTTATAGATAAATTAATACGGTGCCACTCTTCAGTACTACACTGTCACAAACACCTCTTTCATAGTAACAGGAAATAAGACTTCAAGAGAAAACAAGTTCATTCTGTAAGTGTGGCTTGATTTTAAAGTGATGCTGAAGGGCACGCAGAATTGAACCCACTGTCATATCAGAAAGTAGTGTGAGCCAAGCTATTCCAGTGATTGTAGTGGCTGAAAGTACAGCCATGATTAACAGAAATAGCAGCTGACTGTTTATCTGCACAGCCTAGAACGTACATAGTAATGTTATTTCCCATAAATGTAGCATTGCCATTGCAATAATGTCAGAGAATCTGATTCAGTGACCTGGCCCTGAATGTTATTTATTCATAACATTTATAAACAGCTCGATAACAAGTTCTCAATAGTGTTAAAACATGTGGCAGCTCTCAATCTGAGAACCTTTTTATACCGGCTTTGATATTTTTATTTCTAAATTGTACTTGATCCATCTACTGGACCAGGAACCGGGGGCCTTTAAAAACTGCCATAATCCCTGACAATTGGCCATTCTAGTAGATGCTAATAAGATAGTAGTCCAAAAGCATCAGTAGAGCTACATTTCCCTGTCCCTTAACTAAATAGACTTTTTAATTATGTGTGATTCATGCAGTGGAAGATATTAGATTGACTTTTGTTAGGAGATAGAGGAGATAAAGGTTGGAGATAAATCCAAGTAACAACTGGAGTTGTTATTATTAAAAATGGTGGAATGGGCCGTTGTGGGTGTTTCCCAACAGTCCTGGGTGTAACATGAAGTTTGCATGATAATTACAAGCCCAATCCAGGGGAGGAGAATGGATGACTTGTGGATTATATGTAGTTACCAAGGGAGGGTTTTGTGGGCTACACCAGGTCCCTTGCCTCCACGAAGACGTAGTGGTATAGTGGCAGCTATGGGAACCAATTTCCTAGGAAGGTTGTGGGGTCTGCCACATGAAAGGCATTCAAGATGCCACTGAACAGCTACCTGAGAGGAATGGTTTAACTTTGGAGACCTACATTGAGCAGGGGTTGGACCCAGTGGCCCTCTGGCCCCTTCCAACTCTACTATTCTATGATACAGACCCCATGCTGCTACCCGATTTTTTTCCATAATTTTGCTGGAAAATGAGGCTTGTGGAGAGTGAATACCTTGTATTCCAGCAGAGTTATGATTACCGAAGCCCAACGAATAGCTCTTTGGCAGGCCACGAGGTCTGTGTATTCTGGTGTGAAAGCCTCATACAGCCTGTTTCCCAGCAGAAACAGTTCTTTGGAGAAATATGAGGGCTAGTTATTTCTCTGTAGAATTGTGGTCCTGCCAGCCCAGTAAAGAAGTTATTGTTTCCTACAGAATCTGATAGTGCATGCACACAGCTACTTCTGGTTACAGCTGAAATGAAGCAGTGGAACAGTGTGATCTCCAGAAGTCTAAATGCACCCCACAGCCCCGGCACAGCCCTCCAAAATTGCCTACTCCTAGTATGTAATACATAGATCTGAAAACCAGAATCTTTGTGCCACCTAGTGGTTATTTAATATAATTTCATGAATAAGAATAACACTGGAAGAATATGCTTATGACCTTCACTTATTTGTAAATATTTCTAATCTACTTTGAATCCACTTCTAGGCAGGTTGATCTGCCTTAGATGATGCAAATACTTAGGAGTGATACAGTTGTATACCTAAAACCTTATCATACAATATCCTTTTTTCCCAAAAGGGATACTATAATGGTATAATAGTTCTCTGTTCATTGTCTGAATTGTGGGGACAGAGTAGTTGAAACTAACTTCTTTTATAAAATATTATAATTTATTTTAGAATTATGATTTATGTGGTATTATTATTACATTTATATCCTACCTTTTTTCTCTTGCAAAGAATCCAAGGTATCCTACACAGCCACCGCTGCCATCACCGCCTCTGCCTCCTCCTCTCAATTTTTTCTTCTCAATAAGCATGAGAAGTCAGTTAAGCTGAGAGTCATTGACTGGCTAAGAGCCATCCAGTGATCTCTGTAACTCAGTGGAGGCTAGAACACATATTCTGGGCCCTCTTTACTACTGTAGCGCACCATTGAGATGCTATGGTGAAATAAATTTTCTTTCTTTTATGTCTACATACCAAAATCGTGTCTTGTATTTTATTCAGAAAATGCTTATAAAACAAGTGCTTTCCATCTGAGCATAAAGGTTGTATTGACACATGACTAGTTGTTCCAGAATACATTCAAATGTGCACTGTGATGCGTATCCAATTGATTTTGGAATTCCTGATCCAGAAAATGATATGCCCAGCACAGATGACCAAGAGAGTTGCTAGTTGCCAGCTTCCATCTCCAAAAATCACTTACATTGTTCTGTTGGTCTCCTTTTCCTCCTGGAACCACATGCATTTAACATGATCACTGCCTCTCTGGTAATCTCTTAGCTAGACTCCTGCATTGCACTGTATATGGGGCTGTCCTTGAAGTTTCAGCTTGAGCAACATGCAGCAGCCAGAACTAGAAGGTCTGAACATGTAACACCAGTTCCAGCCTACTTTCACTGGTTGCCTGTATGTTTTCAAACCTGATTTAAACTGCTGGTTTTAAACTATAAAGCCCTCCATGGTTTGGGACTGCAGTACCTGACAGAATGCCTCTCACAATCACAGGCTACCTGTTGCTACGCTCAACATCTGAGGCCTTCCTCCAACTGCTACCTTGAAGAGCGGCTTGAATAGTGGCAACAAGGAAGAGAGCCTTCTCGGTGGCAGCCACCAGATTTTGGAACAATCTTTCAGCTGAAGCCTGCCTGTCATCAGCTTTACTGACCTTTCAGTACCAGGGTAAGACTGTTTTCTGAGCAGTCTTTAGCAGCGCTAATAACACTTGTGTTTTGTTGTATTTTAGGCATTGGTTCACACTACCCAGAGAGCTTCAGCTATTGGGCAATATAGAAATAAATGAATACAACATAACCCATTCTGATATCAGCAACACTGGCTATCATTTGTTTTGGGGCACAATTCAAGGTGCTGGTCTGTACTTAAAAATTTCTAAACAGTTTATGGCCAAGATATTTGAAAGGTAAACTAAAGGTAGGATGATATCGAAGGACTGAAGATCTACTTCAGAGCCCGACTGTATGTCCCATCAAGAGAAACTTGGTTCATGGGAACGTGAGACAGGGCCTTCTCTGTGGGCTGCACCATTGTGGAACTTTCTGCCTAAGGAGTTTGACTGACTCCTTTCTGGCTTAGTTTTAGATGGACTGTTGAGACTGCTTTTGTTCTGCTGGTCTTTCAAAAGATGTTTGAAGTTTCACAGACTCTTTGTTTGTCTCTTCTTTATGTTGCTCTGTATGCATGTACGTGTGTTTTTGTGTAGGGACCAAAACTCATGAGGACCCTCTTACACTTGAAGACCTGGTCACCCAGCTCACTCGTCACAGCATCAGTTCCTGGGTTGTTTAATCCAGGAAACACAGGAAGAGGCAGACTGCACATTTCTGCTTTTAATGAGCCGCTTCGAGGCTTCGGCAAATGGGGCGGCATAGAAATTTCCTAAATAAATAAATAAATAACAGCCCAGGAACACTCTGGGTTTGCCCATGGTTTGCTGTTGGGTTAATTTTAGCTTGTTTACCCCATAAAGAACTCAGATTTTCTGGATTCCCATGTCACAAAGAAACCAAGGAATACAGTGTTCCTGGGTTAGTAATTAATATGAAAACAGTGCACATATGGCTTGTGGGCTGCACTTGTCCTCACAAATTCTGGGGTAAATCATCCACGAATTGCTGCTATGACATGCAAACTAGATTGTGAGGAAATGACTAAACTAGTACATTGCATTTCAGTGTTCAAATATGCCTGTGTAGCTCACGGTATAGCTTCAGGCAGGATTCTCTCTCTCAGCCTAATCTACCTTCGTGTTTGTTTTGGTGAAGCTAAAGACAATTAGCTTTGTGGAATGGTAAAAGTAAACATACTACAGGTGCTTCAGCTTAAAATCAGGTGACAAATTCACTTGCTTGTTTTCATACATTTTTTCATGATGAGGTCAGTGTAAGTTACATTTTTTTCCCCAGAAGATCCGCACGCAGTTGATGTACTGTGTACCTGTAGTGCTGGATCAAAACAGTGGGCAGTCCGTCTTTGGGTGGGTCATTTTAATGTCTTCTTTTCCAAAAACCAGTTCAGCTGTGCTGATCCGCCTTGCTGTTGTCAACTTTCTCACTTGATCTGCACGGTCCACGACCAAAAAAAAAAAAAACAGAACAAAAAAACTAGATGAGTAAGTTGCTCCTTTTGATAGGAGTGTGTTTGATGGTGCATTCCTCTGCTTGTCGTGCATTTTTCTCAAAGCCCTGTTGCTCCTGCTGCTTGCCTCTGTGCCTGCTTCAACCACTTTCTCTTTGGTCCTGATGAGCAACGCACAGTGAGCCAACTGTATTATAAAAATTAAATTGGAATGGTTTTTAATGTATCAAGGAGAGCATGATAGAAAATGGGTTACAAGGAAGATGCATCAACCAAAAGCATAACATAACAAAAATCTGCACCACGCTGTTTATGGCAAGTAAAGCATAAAGGGGCTTTTTGGACATTTTGCCAGCCTTGCAAGGAAACTCTGGAAAACTGATAAATCACCCATTAACTGCAATAGGGAAGATGTATTTATAAGCTATTCTTATTTATAACCCCCCACCCCTCAGAAATGCACCATTTTCATGACTCAGAAAATTAAAATACCAACATCCACTTCTAATTCAGCTTCCCCACTGCAGGCAGGAAACAGGATTTAGCCCGCAATAATGCCCTAAGCACTTAAGGAAACACAGAAAATTCAGAACTATGTTAAAATGTAGTTAAAAAAAGAAAAGAGTAGAAACAGAGTAACAATTAAGCCCCAACTGCTGTGGGAAAGCTCCTACAAAACCACAAGGGCTGTGAGAAATTGGTCATACATTGGCCTATATGAGAAACACGCCAGAGACTGAAATCTTTAATCAAACCATATGGTTAAACAAGTGAGCCAGATGGTTTTATTTATGCAGGCAAAGTTCACTTCTAAGGAAGTTCTTTACATCTTATAATATAAAAATCATTTTAATAGTGTGAAAGAAACACTTATCAGCACTTATCCAAAACGTTAAAAAGGTAAGCTGACAAATGTTTTATTTTTAATTGATACGAGGATAATACTGAAAAGTGGGAAATGAAACTGGCTTCAGACAACACAATAACCCAAATTTTGATATGATTGAAATTTCACAATGGAGAGACATCTCTAGAGTGTTGAATATCATATTGTATGAATCCAGTCAGTGTCTAAAGTAGATATAATTTGCATAGGTTGGTTCTATGCAGGATTTGATCTATGAAAGACTTAGCAAGAAAATATTTGGGTTCTTGGAACTATATTATTTTAAAAGTTTTAGTTATCTTTCTCACAGGGATGCAAAACAGTTTACAATAAATAATGCAAATGACCAGTGAGGTATTTCTCATGTAAATTGATACTTGAAGATGTTTTAGGGTCTTCTGCTAGCTCCTTGCTATCTCTTAGAGGTCTTCCCTTCTCCCTTTGTATGGGGTGAGAAAGACAAAATAAATTCCTGTGCTGTTCAGATTCTAATGCTGTTTCTGAAAAATAAAAAGTAATCTCATTTTATATCAGAATAAAGATGGCATGAAATCATCAGTGTTTTGGCTGCAGTGTTCTTTAAGAAGCCATATTTAATTATAGAAGAATACAAGAAGAGTCATGCTGGAGCACACCAAGGGTTCATCTAGTGCAGCTCTCTGTACACACAGAGGCAAATCAGCTGCCCACAAGATCACTCAAGCAGAATGGTTGAAACATCTCCTGTCTAAGCGCCTCAGCAACTGGCCTAAGCAGGAATTCCACCTCTGGTGAAGGAGGTAGCACATAGCCAGCAAGGATAGTAGCCACTGATAGCCCCCTGTTTTATGAATCTGGAATTCGCTCCCCAGGGAGGTTCACCTGGTGCCATCACTATTCCTTTCAGCGCCAGGTGAAGACCTTTTTATTTTCCCAGTATTTTAATAATTAACCTGGTTTTATTCTTGTTTTTATTCCTATTTTAGATGCAGTGAACTTTTGTGGGGTGGGGTCGTTGTTATGGATTCTGTCTTTTGGTTTGCTCTCTGTAAGCCACCCAGAGACTTTTTTACTAATTGGGACAGCATACAAAAACCTTAAATAAATAAATCTGTACAAGCCCCTTTTGAAGCCATCCAAAGTGGTGGCCATCACCACCTCCTGTGGCAGCAGATTTCATAGTTTATACGTTGTGTTTAAAAAAAACAACCCTTCCTTTTGTCTGTCCTGAACCTCCCACCCATCAGCTTTATGGATGAACCCAGGTTTAAGTGTTTTTTGGAAAGGGAGAAAAGTACTTTCCTTCTCCACACTATGCGTAATAAGCACCTCTTATCATGTCTCCCCTTACCCACTTTTTTCCTAAGGTAAAAATTCCCAGTTGTTGTAGGCACTCCTAATAAAGACATTGCTCCAACCTCATCATCATTTCAGTTGCCCTTTAGTTGTATTGTATATTTGTATTACAGGTTTTTCATTGTAAACAACCAGGATGTGTTGTACATGAAAGGAATAATGGAAATGTTAGAAATAAGTTAATGCAAAAATGTATTTATGACTGTATTTTGAAAGCAATACTTGGTTTCTAAGCAGATTGGACTCCTTATTCTGCATGTTCTGTAATAACATGATTTACTTGGTTACATTGACTGATAGGCACACACCAGAAAGAACCTATTCAGCCAAGGAAAACAGCTGTAAATTGTTAATTGGGCATTTAAGCTTGATTTACTGCTGCCATATCAAATGTATGATGTGAAGCATTCACAATGTACTAGAGATTGGTTTGTTAATTAATTCCATTAATTAAAAACTAATTAAAATGTCAAAAGAAACATTACATCTGGGGCAACAAGCATAATGCATGTGAAATGCAGACTTGAAATATGCAGAAATAAATGTCTATGGAAACCTGGGTGGTTTGGTTTTTAAATCAAGCCATTTGGTTTAAGCCCATTTTTAAACCAAGTCACTTAAATGTCTCAGGACCAGTGCATCTGAAGAAACATCTATGCCCAAAAGTTCCTACCCGACCGCTAAGATTAACTACAGAGCTCCTTCTCAGGGAACCCTAAAGAAGTGAGGTGAGTGGCAAACAGGACAAAGGTCTTTCCAATAATTGCATCCTATCTATGGAATATGCTTCCCAGAAAAGTATGCCCAGCACCCTCATTGTGATCTTTTTGGTGCTGGGCAAAGACACTTTTATTCTCCACACATCAAGACTGCTTATTACATGTCACACATCAATCAAGCAAAATTCCAGGATCAACAAAATTGAGGTAAAGATGGCAATGGGCAACTTGTGGCCCTCTAGATATTTTGGCTTACAACTCCCATCATTGCTCCTCATTGGCTATACTGCCTGGAGCCAACTGGAGCTGTAGGTCAAAGCATCCAGAGGGCCACAAGTTGAACATTTGTGATTTAAGGGAAGTGTTAAGGGTTACAAATTTACTCATGCACTCAAAATCACAAGTTTGAGGTCTCAGCTTCAACTCCCACATGGTGCAACATTTGGGGCATTACTAAGGGGGCTCAAATATTGTGCTCCTTTACAGGTTAAGTGATAGGAACCCACACTCTTCTTTGGTTCCAGTCATTTTCCTTTGCAAGTCATGGCAGCACTGAACCTGGAGTCAGTTCTGTGCCAATGTTTAACGAGGTGAAATGTTTTCAAATGCCAACATTTGGATTTTGACCTTTGCAAAGCATATCTTAAGCTTAAGCAGGACCCAATTCTAGGGATATTTAGCCAGCAAATCTGCTTTTCAGACCTTGGGGAAATGTGATTCTTGTAGGCTCAGTCCCTGATTGTTTGAGATCAGCAACAAGAAGATGATGATTGAAAGAAAAAAAAGGGTGCTGCAGCAGGAAACAAGAGGAAATATACATCAAAATGCACAAAAGTTGATAGGGAGGAACTTTTCAAGGAGACTCCTGTTCTTCTCTTCAAGCATACCATTTAGCCCTACTTAGAAAAACAACTTCACACAGACTCTGTACACAAGAAACATGTTCTTATTAATCAAAGTCAAGTTAGGCTCTATTTTTATTTTCTGTAAATTAATATTCACTTTTTCCTTTAGTTTACTACATTTTTAAATACTATCATTCACCATCAAAATTATGGTTGGAAATGCATTTGAACATATAGTAACTTCCTCACAGTCAGCAGATAGATTTGCACTGTCGGGGCTGCTAGATGAGGAGATAAACATGTTTAGCCAAGACAGTGGCTTCCCGCCACCATCTTTAGTCAGCATGAAAAAGAAACCATTAAAGGATGAGCTGTTTCTAAGCTGGCGATGGGAACTTGTGGTCTCTTGGGAACACACCAGTGAGGACCCTGAAAGGACAGAAAATATTTGGCTGCATTACATGCAACTAAGTGCTTTATAAACCATTCCCAGC